TGTACAAATATATATATATATATCCTGAAAGCATTGGCTAATGGAAGAACCGATCACAAATTATCAATCCTTGTCGTTTTCTAAGAGCTATGGAGCTGGAGTCATCGGTACTTTAAAACATATTATCAAAGGTACTTTATCAACGATACTTTAAAGCATTATCAAAGCTCAGAAAAGCAAATTCTTAACTTTCCCATAAACTTTCTCGAGGAATCATCCTGCTACATTATAAATACGTACATTAAAAGCAATAAAGGAACTTCTGCAGAAATTCAAAGGAAAAGGACCTTATAGTTCAGATTTCTCCTTTTGTGACTTCCACGTCTTTGATGAGCTCAAGAGACAGTAGTTTCAGACGGAGTTAAAGTCAAGATGTGCAAGTGAAACTAGTCCAAATACCTTCCAATTGTTTTTATAAGCATTGGATTGTATGATTAGTGTCACAGTGGGACAAATGCCTGAAAAATCTGAACAATATTTTTGAGTCTTGTTAAATAAATTGTATGAAATAATCTCTGGCTCGTTACTTAATGACTTTACCTAATGTTTCAAAGATGCATTGCTTAAAAGAAAATGTAAGAATTGTATATATTTATTCTTTTTTTTATGCAGATTATTGTCAAAGCACAAAGACAATTCACGTTTTAATATCAATTGCCGCGATGCCATCGGTAGAACAGCTCTAGTGGTGGCTATTGAGAATGAAAACATGGAACTTATTGAACTTTTGCTTGCAAATGGAATCAAAGCAGAAGATGCTTTGTTACATGCAATCAGTGAAGAATACGTTGAAGCAGTAGAAGTTCTTCTCCAGCACGAAGAAAAAATTTACAACCCTGGAACACCATATGTAAATAAATTGACTTATTTTTTTCAATAATAATTTATGCCTTATTTCCATTTATACTAACCAATTTGCAAATAAGATGACTTATATTTTTTGATACTTATTATCTACAAAAGAGTAGATCTATTTTTATTCAGTATATGGATTAGTAAGAATAAATAAAAATGCTTTATTGGGACTACTTATAAGTCCACAAGTAAGTTAAGCTTTTTGATAATACCTACTAATCCGAAAATTAATGATTTAATTACTTTGACAACTATTAGTTCTCAAATTGGGTAGACTTAATTTTAAGTAAGTTTGTCATATTCAAAAATGAATTTATTTTTTCTGATACTTTTCTTAAGTTATTACCACAAGCGGCATTACTAAATTCTAGCATTGTATCAATTACCTACCATATCATTTATTAGATTTCAGATTTTCTTCATCTGCATGTGTTGTAGCTTTTTCTTTGAAAACATTTAAGAACCTTTCAAATGGCCTCAAAATAATTATTTTATTCAAAATAAGTGTTTTAAAATGTATGAAAAAAAGTTTGGTTTGATATCAAAATTTTGTATTACACTTGGTGCTATTTACTTTAGTGCGAAACATTGAAGCACCCAATTAACTTCCACTAACTATATCCATATTTAATTCTTTTTCAGAGTTGGGAAGCAATTGACAACGATATGGCATCTTTTACTAAAGATATTACTCCATTAATACTTGCATCGCATCGAGATAACTACGAAATTATAAAACTTTTACTTGATCGAGGGGCATCTCTTCCAATGCCTCACGACGTTCGATGTGGTTGTGACGATTGTGTTGTTGCTACCAAAGACGATTGTTTAAGACATTCTCGATCACGTATCAATGCATATCGAGCTCTAACGTCTCCATCACTTATTTGTTTGTCATCAACAGATCCTATTCAAACAGCCTTTACTCTCAGCTCTGAGCTTGCTAGATTGTCATCTGCTGAACATGAGTTTAAATTTGATTACATGGTAAATATTACAATGATTTGTACAACTTTTATTACTAGATATCCGTACTATGTAGCTTAGCTTAGACTTAGAGGTTGGGCAGCTCCAAAGAGCAGGGCACATCGACCTGAGGTCCATTGTACCCAAACCCTAAATCATGATTAACAAAAAAGCTTTCTAGCTGAAATGAAGTTCAGCAAACACCTGACAGCAACGTTTTGCAGTTCCCAGGCCTTAATGAAATGTGGCCCTAAATGCTCAAATATTTGAGCAGAATAGACCTCACAATCACAAAGTATATGTAGAGCATTCTCCTCCTCAAGATGACAACCTCGACAAAGAGAATTCGATTCAATACCTATTATAGGTGTCTGATACTGTGTCCTGAGGGTGAGTGAGAAGGCCAAAGATCTTCCTCAAACTGTCTCTGTTTAGCTTAAGAAGCTATTTTTGACGTACAATAGGAAAGTCGCGATTCAGCTCTATAGCTTGTCTCTGACCATCTAAGTTGCATCATTGCTCATGGGTAATTTTGCCATAGAGCTTGAATATAGAGGCCCTGAATGATGTGGGAGAGATTCCCAAGGCTGGTTCAGGGCCCTGAAAATTGCAGTGGAGCCAGCCCATGCTGCTTCGTCAGCCAGCTCATTTACATGTATCCAATGTAGGTATACCTTGTTATGAGTAACGAGGTCACAGAGAACTGAGAAGCACTCATACACTAGTGAAGAGGTGTCCGTACGTTGTAAGATGGTGCACAATTATGAGTAAACTGAATTAGACATCTTTTTTCTAGAAATTTTCTTAGTTCTCGAAATTTCCTTCCCTAAAAAAACATATCATAATTTCTGTATGCTCTCAAAAGGATACAGCAAGAGTGGCGATTTTAAAAATTCTAAATAAGAAACATTTTTTAGAAATTAAGTCTTAAAATTATAATTATGCATCTAAAAGCAATATGGTAAAGGCAAAATATCTTCCTCGTCTTTGATGGCAGTTTTGTCTTTTGATAAAAATTTTAAACGGTGGTTTGACTAAATTGAGGCGGAATTTCAGTTATACAACATTTAATGTAGCCGATGAGGTTGTTGAGGGTTTGTTGATACAAATAATTTGCTTAAAAAATAATAATTAGAAAAAATAAAAGATTTTCGTCCCTTCATAGTTTTTTCGTCTTAACTGTTTGAACATGGATTTAAACCTAGTTCATTTCAAGGCATTTCAACTTTAATTGCATTTTTGAAAATAAGGTTGTTATTACATAATATTTAAACCCACATTGAAAGTGTTTCAGAAAGAATTCTTCACATAAAGTTTATAAAGTTAAAATTTTTCATATTCATACAAGGTTAAAATTCATATAATTCAGATTCAAATTCATATGAAGTTGAAATTATTATTTATTATTATTATTATTACTCTTTAATTTCAATTTTTTAATTTGAATTCAATTTGAATCTAAATTTTAATTTAAATTTCGTTGTGATGCAGTGGCCTATCAAAAAATATACTTTTTTTAATGTATATTTTTGGAGTCTATATTTGAAAAAGTGCCCGGCCATTTTGTTTATTGAACCCTTAACCACTAATTAATAATCTGAAACCATAAAACTCTTTAAAATACATTTTTTAATAAATATATTTTTAAAATTTTCACTATATTAGATGGACAATTTTGCTCTGTGGATGAGTTATTCCGCTATTGATGATGGGACTCAAAAAATCTCAAAGAAATTTTTTAAATGATGATTCAAGTTAATAGGTTTGGGAAAGCTTTTCTTGATTTGCTGAAGTATTGCACAAGAATGCGCAAAATACTTTGAATAAAATACACAGTTTCTCTCTAAAAAGAATTAGAAGGCCTCTTAACTAACTGAAAGACATATCTGATTTAATTTAAATACTCAAATACGAGTTTTATTGTTAAAAGGTACAAAATACAAAACCTGCACAGATGCATAACTTCTTCAATAAAATAGTACAACTAAAATTATTATTTAATAATGTTTCATTTATAAACTAAGCATCAATTAGCAGAAACATTTGAGAGATACATTTAAACAAATAAGCTTTCGAAATGAGTTTTTAAAATTTTAATTAATTTTTTAAATTTTATTTTTATAATTTTTTATAATGACATAGAAATTTACTTTGGACTTGGGTTAGTTGAGGTCATAATAGCTTAGAAAGTTCCTCTTAAATAAGGTATAAAGGGTATCGGAAGAAACTTTTTCAGCAACGTGCTATTAAAATTTTAGCTATGTGTTTCACTTTTAATTTTATATTTTGTCATTCTCTACATAAACGCTTATTTGAACAAAAATATAACTTTTTTGTGACTTCTATAGACTTGAAATATATTTTTACTCCTGTTTATTAGCATGCGCAAAAATATGATACATTTAAAATTCCTTATGCATTTTATAATATTTTAACATGTGCAAATATTTTCATATTTTATTATTCTACTTAAAAGGAATTACGTAAAAAATGTGAACAATATGCAACAGCACTCTTGGACCATACTCGTACATCATATGAATTAGAAGTTATGTTGAATTATGACCCACATGGACCACTTTGTGAAAAAGGAGAAAGAATGAAACTTGAAAGGTTAAAGCTGGCTATCATAAGCAAACAAAAATCGGTAATTTGTATTTTCTAAGTTTCTGTTCTTTTTAGTCCATTTTTAAGTTATATTTTATGAGTAAAAATTGTTTTAGTTCAAAAGTACAAATTAATTTACTTCATAAGCTCAAATTATTTTTACTTAATAGGGATAATTATTTTGATTTATAGGTTATTTTATGCTTAAAGGATCATACTATTTTTTACTATGCTGGTAACTTACGCAGTTTGAAACACTTTTGTAATTTTTTCAAACCTCCTAAATATAAAAAAAAAAATAATGAATTTATCATATAAAAATCTGTTCAGAAATTTTTTTACTGCATAACTGCCTTAAAGATAAAGACTTGATTTCCATGGGATTTGAAATATTCTCTTTGATAATAGTTTTGGATATCGTTGAGGAAGTCTTCAAATTTTCTCTTTAAAAGGCGTTTTCTTCAATGATATTAAATGATCAAGGGCAGAGACATAAATGTTCCTTCTTTCTTCTCTGTCTGTACTATCTGAGAATCTTACTAAAGAGGGTAATATATTGGGGTAATGTATTTCTTGATAAAACATTGAACAACATTTTCCTACCTAATATGGGGCCAGTGCAAGAATGGTCAACAATGCTCTTTTAAGATTCGAATGTCAATATATACGGTTGGGGATTGGGAAAAAATTCATCAGTTCACCCATTTTGCAGTGATGGGAAATGAGCTTGAATGTTGTTTTCAAACTTTTCATTGGTCTTAAAATTTTGTTCTGGAAAAGCATGAACACATAGTTCAAACCAACGAGAAAGGGGCGCTATTTAATCAGCTTGGTGTAGAATATGAAATTAATTACTTTTTGTATTTATTACAAACAGCTTTTAAATTGTGAATTAGAACAATATTGTAATTGAAACAATATAATAATTGCATACAATTTTCAGATTTATTAAAAAGATTTTTAAATAAGACCAAAGATGAACTTAATATTAGTGGTACATGGAAGAAAATTTAATCTAAAATTTTTGTCCTGAGGTAAAAAATAAATGAATAAATGCTATTTTCAAAAGGTGGGAGCGTGAAACAGATATAAACTTTAAGCTCTGACAAAAGTACATTTATAATTCCGTTTAGTGTAAGGAACTGACATAAATGACTGTAAAAGTTTTCTATAAAGGACGTAATACTTTTGTTTCAATTTTCAAATTTTAAATCATTTTCTCATGTTTTTGTGAAAATTTTTTAACAATACATTTTCATTTTCTCGAACATAAATGAGCGATAAGTCAAAATCGCGTAATGATCGTAACACCATTTTTCGCATGAACTTACTGTTTAAGTTAATCTGTGGCCACAATATCAAGTGAAAAAATTATTATTTCTTTAACTTAATAAAGTGATATTTATTTTTCATAAGTAGGGATTATTTAGCGCAAATAACCCAAGTATCAAGTGAGAATTAAAAGTTGCTGTAGTTATTTTGTCCTGACTTCGTGAGAAGTACGCGTAGTCACTAAAGAAACTAGCCAACACTTTAAACATTCATCAGTTTATCCAGAGTTTTTTTTTAACAGCATCTTTTAAGCACATAAATTTGACAATATTTTGGCTAAAAATGAAGGAAAAAAGAGTGTTCTTCGTAGTTCACTCAAGTTTTGGAAATATCTTATGTGTGAAGCCAAATTCTGAAATTCATGTAAAATATAAATATATACATTTTTTACTTATTGTGAATCCAAAATAAAAATTGGAAGTATACATGATATTTACACCGAAGAGCCATTACATTATGACCACCCTCCATCTATAACAATGGGCTCGCCCTGGTTTTCAAATGATATT